TGGGTGTTATGACATTTACGTTTTCCTTGTGATGCACAATTTCTTTCTAAAAACCCAAGATCTCAATATAATCATGCCGTGATTCTTTGGGGTTAATTTGGTGCTACGACACTACAACACTATTTTTTTAAAATTGAAATAGCATTACAATGCTTAGGATTTTGCACTACATCACTTAGGCTTATTTTTCCTTACATGTTTAACACACAAGACAAATTCTATCACACACTTCACAACTTCTATAGGTCATAAATTATGCCTAACCAAATTAACTTCTAATTGTAATTAAAAACATCATTCACACATAATCTATCCTGATTAAAATAACAAACATATACAATCATTTGGGTTGCCTTCTAAGTAGCATTAAATTTATAATCTTCATCCAGATCTTCATCCAGATTATGCCTATGAGCCAACTCCATCGAACTCATAAGGCAATCTATTTTCTCTCCTAAGTATGGCATCAATATCTCATCATTAACTTTTAAAATTTGCGTGGTATGACTTCTTTAATATTAAAAGTTTCCTAAGAATACACCTTGATAACATTGAATTATCCTGACCACGTGGACAAACTTTCATGGAAATAATTTTAATTTTAAATTCTATAAAAACGCTTCTTGTCAAAGCTCTAGTTTCTTCCTAATGAGCAAATAATCATGCCACTTTTTTATTTGTTCCTTATATAACTTGGCATTTCCATAAGCAGCATTTCTAATTTTTTTCTAAATCATTATATTCATTTAATCTTTCTCCTCAGCATCCTTAATATTATAATTTAATTCTTTCACCATCCAATAAGATTTATGCCCTAACTCTAAAGGTAAGTGAAAAGCTTTTCCAAAGAACAACTTATAGGGAAATGTTCTAATTAGGGTTTTAAATGCCGTCTTGTAAGCTCCATGTGCTTCACCCAATCTCAATGCCCAATCCTTCCTATTTGGACTCATAGTCTTTTATATAATTCTTTTGATCCCCCTATTACTAATTTTGGCTTGGCCATTAGTTTGGGGATGATAAGCAATTTTTTTTTTATGTTTAATTCCATATTTCAAAATTAAGTCTCCACTCTTTTATTATAAAAATGACTTCTAATAATGTCTCCATGTACTCAAAATCTTATATATATATATATATATATAGATAATCATTATGTAAGCATCAATTTTTTGTGTTGCCACTCTCTTAATCCACTTGGAGACATAGTCAACTTTTATTAGTATATATTGACTTCCAAAACATTGAATAAAATGAACCTTTTCAACTTGTTGCATGTAGTTAAGGGGCATTTTATTTAACCTTTAACATCTATCACATCTTTTGATATGCATTTGCACATCTTAAAAAGGCATGCTAGTAAAATCCAATCTAAAGGATCTTAATAACATATTTAAATTCTCCAAAATTCTCTCTATACTCTGAGTCATAGCACTAAAATATGATGGTTTCAATCTCCTCTTTAGAGACCGACTTCCTAGTGATTTGATCTTTGCCATTTTTAAACAAGTCTGATTCATCCTAAAAAAGAACATTTTGCATCATACTAAATTTTGCATTTTTGTGTATTTGACATATCAAATGAGATCACTCCACTCATAGTATAGTTCACAATATTAGTAGACCAAAGTAGGCACAATAAATGCAATACAAATAACTTTTCATCAAGGAATACTTCATTTATTTCAAAGTTATTATGTTTGGAATCCTGCCTCTTTAATATAAAGCAAATTTCAACCACTTAATTCTAAGAACATTTTTTTATCTAAAATTTCTTCATTAAATTCCTGAATCAATAAAATCCATATAATCAATTTGCATCTTTTTTCAAGTATTTGATAGAAGTGTGATTAGTGAAAATAATAACTTTGGTGTAGATTAAATATGAATTGAATTTTTCAAATGCAAATATTATTACTAGTAATTATTTCTAAGTTGTCATATAATTAATTTGTATATTGCTCAATAATCTACTAGCTTACTATTTAACATGAAATTTTTTTGTTTAGTTTTTATCCTAAAGCTTCTCAAATGGTATAGTTACTAGCATCACACATCAAGTCAAAATTTAAAGACCAATTAGGTGAAATGATGATAGGTGTAGCTAGTAAGCACTTCTTAAGTTTTTTAAATGGAGTTAAAGTTTTTGAATTGAATTTAAATTGAACATCCTTCTCAATTAAATGACATAAGAGTTTTATAATTATACGAAAAATCTTTAATAAATCTACTATAAAATTGGCACGACCTAGAAATTTTTGGCTATCTTTGTAGAAGTAGGAGTTGAAAATTCTCATTCACCCGGATCTTCACCTTGTGAACCTCCATACCCCTCTTAGATATTTTATGTCTAAGGATAATGCTTTCCAAAATCATCAATTGGCTTTTTTCCCGATTGAGAACTAGGTTAATTTCCTTACATCCCTTCAACATGAGTTCTAAATTATATAAATAAACAAAAAATGTTATTCTGAAGACAAAAAATTTATCCATAAAATTTTCAATGTCATGCTCTATTAAATTCAAGAAGATAGATCTCATTCCTTGTTGAAATTATAAGGGTCTTACATAATCCAAAAGACATTCTCCTAAATTAAAATATACTAAAAAGATTGGTGAATATAGTTTTGTCTTGGTCTTTTGGTGCTATATGAATTTGATGATAACTAGAATTACCATCTAAGTAGTAAAAAGGGTGCCCTACTAACTTATCTAAAATCTAATTAATAAAGGGAAAAGAAAAATGGTCCTTCCTTAGAGATTTATTTAGTTTTCTATAATCTATACATATTATCCAACCTATGATGATCCCAGTGGGTATCAATTTTTTTTTTCTCATTGGCCACTCCAATGGAGCCTTCTTTCTTTGGGATACAATGAATTGGATAAAATGAGATAGGAAATACCAGCATCAAACCATTTTATAATCTTCTTCTTCACAACTTCCTTCATTGCAAGGTTCAGTCTTCTATATGGTTTAGCTTTTAGAAAGGAGTTTTTTCCATCAAAATCTTATAAATGCATAAGGATGGACTAATTCCATTAATATCTTTAATGGTGCAACCAAAATCTTTCTTATAAGTACTAAGAACTTTAATCTACTTATCTTCTTGATCTTCTCCTAGCTCAACATAAATATTGATAGGTAAGACTGACTCCTCTGTTAAGATGGCATACTTCAAGTCGGTAGGCAATCCTTTTAACTCTTAAATAGGTACTTCTATAATAGATGGTTTTATGGTCTTCCCTAAAGATGATGTATATAATATCTCATATCACTCCCTAAATGCTTTGTAAACTTCACTAACCACATGAGAAAAATTTCTATCTACCTCTCCCATGTCATCCTAACACAATAACTTTCCAAAGAATTATCAATCAATAATTCTTCCACAAAATACTCTGCAAAATCATTAACTAAATCCAATATATGAAAATCCTCACTATGATTCTTAGGAAACTTCTTCAAATTATAGACACTAAAAGTAACTTCTTGGTCCTAAACCCTCATGGTCAACTCTCCCATCTATACATTAATTATATCCTTCCTAATGGTAAAGAAATGTCTACCCAAGATAATAGGTATATCCATGTTTATCTATATTTCTAAGATAACAAAGTCAACATTGAAGGTTAATCCACTTGACTAAGACATCCTCTATCATTTGTCTTGGATAAGAGAATGAAGGGTCTCCTATTGGAAGGGTAACAGTGATAGGTTGGATTTCTCCTTAATCAAGTCTCTTAAATATGGACAAGGGCATAAACTTTATGATTATTTCTAAGTCATATAATACCCTCCCATAAAATAGGATAACTATCTAGGTCCTTAATCTTTTGAAGGAGTTTCTTTTGTAGGGCTACACTATATTACTTAGTTAGGGTAACAAATTTAAAGACTCTTAGTTTTTTCTTCTTACTCTAGATGTCTTTCATGAACTTAGAATAGGTAGGCATCTCTTCTAAAGCTTACTAAATGGAATGATAATAGATAATTATTTAAACACGTATAAAAATTTTGAGAACCACCTATCTAAATTTTTCTTCAAAAACCTTTGAGGAAATAGTGGTAGTGTCCTCACAATAACCTCTCTAATGGGGTTTTCTATTTCCTTATCAAGTTGAGATTGTTCTTTAAGATTGGTGGTTTCTACACGTTCTTCTATAGGTATATCATCCTCAAGTCTATCTTTATTCCTAACCACTACTTCTAACTCTCTACTACTCCTTAACTAAATAGATTTGCAATACTCCTTACCTCCTTATGATTTAACTCTATATTGCTAGGCAAGGCTCCTTAAAGTCTATTATTTATGGAACTAGCTAACTCCCCTAATTGATTTTTAATGTTCCATATTATAGCAACTTAATTATGTAATTGGGTCCCCTCAATTTACCAAACTTGATCTTCTAGAGAAGGCCACTTATTCTTAATTTGATTATTAACATTAAATCTAAGAGGATAATTAGGCTTAGAATTACATAAATCTATTGAGGTAAGTTCCAGTTTCCTACAAGGCTGTGTTAGTTAGGATTCCAATGACTACCACCAATAGGAATATTACTCCATTAAAAATTGAAGTGGTTTTTTCAACTTAAATTATAATTGTTAGAATAAGAATTATTTTGTCTATTGTTAATAACATGTAAAGTTTCATCTTCAGAGATATTTTGGTAACTAGATGCTCCATAAATTCTCCTTTACTAACATAGGTGTTTCCTGAGATGTACTAACTCCACTATTATTCAATTTCATAGAGATAGTAGCTACAGGAGTAGTCAAAATAGGTAAGGCATTAGATTCTTACACACTACCTACTTTCTTAAGGTTCACTCTCTCAAAATGTCATTGGAAATTATTGGTGGCCATTATTTTAGTCAAAGTATATGCTTCATCGAAGGGTTTAGAAATCAAAGAACTTCCAGCAACAACATCAATGATAGCTCTAAGAGATTCTATAAGTCCCTTATAGAAGGTTTAGATGATAAGCCAATCGGGCAAGACATGGTGTGGGCACCTCCTTAGTAGTTCCTTAAATGCCTCCCAAGCTTTATATATTGATTCTCTACCTAATTGAGTGAATGATGTGATATTATTTATAAGTTCTATAACTTTTTGATGGAGGGAAATACTTAGCTAGAAACCTATAAGCTAAATCATTCCACGTGGTAATTGAGCCTTGGGGTAAGGAGGTTAACCACATCTTAGCCTTGTCCCTTAAGGAGAATGAAAATAATGTAAGTCTAATGGTCTCATCAAAGACCCAGTTATATTTAAATGTTGTGTATATCTCTATGAAACTAGCTATATACAAGTTGGGATCCTTTATAAGAGTTCCCCTAAATTGATAATATTATACTATTTGAATTATAATAGAGTTTTTCTCAAATTTATTGACTTGGATATTGGGTCTATTGATGTTTTGATGAATGCCTTTTACCATGGGATTTACATACTCTCTAAATGGTTATGGTTGATTCTGTACTTCACTAGGTTAGTGATCTAAAAGTCTTTTTACAATTTTTTTATATTTTTTTAATTTTAATTATTTTTTCTATCTCATGATCAAACAAGACTACACCTACTTGGTCTTTACTATACATGCAACAACACAATTTGAAAAAATAGCATTGCAATAATACATTATAATTATAATAATAAACTACAGTACCAATATAAAATAGGATAAACAAATAAGATGATAAGATTAAATTGAATAATCTTATGTAATGAAAAAGATAATTATACAATATCCAAAGCAATAACGTTAAAAACTTGATCGCTACTCACTTAAAAATTAGATATTTTGTGTATAAACTCTAATTCTACACAAGTGTCGTATTGTGTCAAGTAATAAAGTAATAAGTAGAGTCTCATTTCCAGAGTATAGGATTACCCCAAGTTCACTCTAGTACTTTTTATATGAATTACCAAAATTACCATCTCAGTAGAAACTCAAAGGTGTGCTAATGAAAGCCATCAACTAAGTCTTAAAATAAAATTCCTATATCTATGTGATTTTTGACCTATGATAGTTAAAACTCATGAGTGCAAAAGTTAGATCTCTCTTAATGTTGTTGAGAATTAAAGCATAAATACTCTTCATCTCTGTCAAGCTAAATGGTATGGCTAACTAAGATTTCTCTCTACAATAATAATTATATCTCCTTAAGATTCCAAGGCTCTATCCACTCTATGTCCATGTTGTTAAACACTATATGCAGCGCGGTACAACATACCACAAATCAACATCATTTCTGCTTTTCACTTCTCCGTTGTCTCCTGCATATAACGGCCACACCATCATAAGGCCACTGCACCATGTGCACACAGGCACATCTCTTCTATATATACATAAACTGTGTACCATGCTTGATTCAGAGATGATATGAGAAATGCATTTCCTCACACAGAGTTTTCCCTGCTTTCTTCTTTCTCTTTGCATTCTCTAACCGTATTGCAGGTTCTCTCATGGTATCAGAGCCTTCTATGAGAAGAAGCCTCTCTTTTTGAATCATGACTGATTCTTCACCAACACAGTATTCTACGGAAGCATCGCCTCCCACTACTGCGATAACTCCAACCATGATCGAGCTTGTTATTCCCCCTTCTCTCAAGTTCCTGATGAACAACCTCAAACTCATCATCTCCAACCAACTCACCAGTGACAACTATTCCATCTGGCGATTGCAGATTTTCCAACTCTTCTCTGCCAACGGATACGAAGGCCATCTTACCGGCGACAGCGTCAAACCTACTATCACTGCTACTGCAAACAACGCCAACGAGATTCGTCTATGGAACCTGATTGATCAAAATCTGGTTTCCGCCCTTCTCTCGATGATTTCTCCGGCATTCCTTCCATACATTCTCACTCTCTCCACTGCCAGAGAGAGTTGGCTTACTCTGGAGCTGTGCCTTCAACCCACCAACCGCTCCTGCGAGATCCAGCTCAAAAACAAACTGTATCACATTCAAATGAAGGACTTAAATATGATGCAGTACCCGGCCAAAATCAAATCCCTCGTCAACAATATTGCCGCCGCTGGATCTGTATTAGATCCTGAGGAAATCATCCTCCATATCTTAAATGGTCTTCCGCCATCTTACAATCCATTTAAGACCTCCGTGCGAACCAGCCAGCTTCCTCTGAGTCTCGACGTCATCTACAATCTATTGTGCAGCAAAGAGATTCATATGCAGACTGATCTTCATCGCGATTCCAGCTCTCTGACTGATTATACAGCTCTTTTCACCAACCGCGGAGGCTCCTCTCGTGGTCGCTCTTCCTACCGTGGATCTCGCGGTCGTGGAGCTCCCTTCAGGCCAAACAACTCAACAACCCACAGTGACACTACCAGGCCAATCTGCCAGATTTGTAGCAAACCAGGCCATATTGCCTCCTCCTGTTGGCATCAGTTTAACGCAAACTACAGCATCACCACCAATGCTCCTCAAACCGCGCTTCTGACTAGTTCGAATCCCACCTCTCACAATGAGTGGGTGCTGGACTCTGGTGCATCAACCCATCTCACCCCTGATCTCACCAACCTGCAGCTTTCATCTCCTTACAATGGCACCGAAACCATCTCTACAGCCAATGGTAGCTCTCTTCCAATCCATCACACCGGTCAAGGTTTACTTCCTCTCCCTGACTCCAATCGTAAGCTCCTTCTTCGCAATCTACTCCATGTTCCTCTGCTTTCTCACAATTTAATCTCCATTCATAAACTTGCTTCCGATAATAACTGCTCCATTTCATTTGATTCGCATGGCTTTGTCATCAAGGATCTTACTTACAATCAAATTCTCATTCGTGGACCCAACCATAACGGTCTCTACTTGGTTTCTTCCACCTCATCCAAGCTTCCAGTCACTCTGCACACGTCTTCGTCCAACTCTACAATATGGCATTCCCGTCTTGGGCACCCAAACCCGCACACCCAACAACAACTAGTCTCTTCCCGTCAATATGTAGTCCTCTTTCTTCTTATGTTTGTGAGTCATGTAATATGGAAAAAAGCCATAAGTTACCTTTCTCTTCCTCAATATCTCGTGTAACCGAATCCTTTAATCTAATACATTCTGATGTTTGGGGTCCAGCACCTCTATCGTCTACAAATGGCTATCGATTCTATGTTATTTTTATTGATGATCATACTCGCTTTACTTGGATATATCTCATGCATACCAAAGCTGAAACTCTTTCTAAGTTTAAACAATTTCACAAATTAATTCTTAGACAATTCAACAAAAATATCAAACAATTCCACTCAGACGCAGGTGGTGAATTCACCAGCACTGCATTCCGATCATACCTCATGGAACATAGCATACATCATCAATTTAGTTGCCCCTACACTCCAGAGCAAAATGGCATGGCGGAACGCAAGCACCGTCATCTCTTGGAAACGACTCGCACACTCATTCATCAAGCTCATCTTCCTCATCTCTACTGGGATGAAGCCTTACTCACATCCAACTACCTTATAAACAGATTGCCTTCCAAGGACTGCAATAATAAAATACCTTATCAGCTTCTCTACAATCTTCCACCCAACTACTCCTATCTTAGAACCTTTGGCTTCCTCTGTTTCCCTTGGTTTAATCCCACAACACCGTCCAAATTTCATCCACGCTCCCAACCATGCCTCTTTCTCGGATACTCACCATCTCACAAAGGTTACCGTTGCCTTAATCTTAAAACCAATAAACTTTATGTCTCTCGCCACGTCATTTTTCATGAAACCTCCTTTCCATATCTCTCCTCATCCTCCACCAGTTCCTCACCCTCCTCCTATACGATCTCTGATCAAACACACTCCCCATATCTTCTCCTTCCAACCACTTCAATCATTCACTCATCCAATTCAGCTCCAACTCCAACAAATTCAAATCCACCTCCAATCTCCCCACTAAGACAGAACTCACCACTATCTAGCCAATCCTCTCCACAAAACTCCATATCTCCACCTCCTCCACCTAACTCCCGTCCCACCACCACTTCCAATCATCCTATGCAAACCCGGCTTAAGGATGGTATTCATCGCCCGAAAATCATCTTTGATCTTCTCACCGTCCCATCTCCAACTCAACTACCCTCCTCCCACTCTCAAGCTGTCAAACATTCTCATTGGAGAGCTGCCATGTCTGAGGAGTTCCTTGCCTTACAAAAGCAAGGTACATGGTCTTTGGTACCTTCCCCTCCACACACCAAAGTGTTAGGCTGCAGATGGACTTTTCGTATCAAACACAAACCGAATGGCGATGTCGAACGCTACAAAGCACGACTGGTAGCTCAAGGTTTCGGTCAAGAATTTGGAATCAACTTTGGTGAGACATTCAGCCCAGTGGCTAAAATGCCAACAATATGGGTACTTCTTCTAATATCTCTTCAGTTCAAGTGGCCAGTTCTTCAATTCGACATCTCCAATGCCTTCCTTCATGGAGACTTACATGATGAGGTATACATGGTTCAGCCTCTTGGCTTTGTCGATCGAGACAACCCACACTTTGTTTGCAAGCTGCACAAAGCTCTCTATGGCCTTAAACAAGCCCCGAGGGAATGGTACAACAAACTCTCCTCAACTTTGGCTTCTCCTTTAGCAAGGCTGACCCGTCACTCTTATGCTTCTCTCGGGATGAATCTAAAATCTATCTTCTCATATACGTTGATGATCTTTTAATTACTGGCAACAATCCCACCATCATACATCAGCTCATTACTAAACTTCATCATGATTTCTCTCTCAAACAGCTGGGAGAAATAAGCAACTTCTTGGGAATTCAGGTTCAGAAGCATTCCTCTGGCTTACTCCTCACTCAATCCCAATATGCTATTGACATCATTCACTCGGCTGGACTGCAGAATAGTAAGCCTGTTGCAACACCAATGGTTCCCAAACCGTCTACCACTTCGGAGGCTACTCTTCCGTTTCATGATCCAACTCACTACAGGCGTCTTGCTGGATCTTTGAATTATCTTACGATTACTAGACCAGATATAGCCTTTGCGGTAAATAGTATCAGCCAACATATGCATCATCCAACTAATGCAGATTATACAGCCCTCAAACGTCTCCTTCGGTATATACAGGGAACACTTC